CCGTCCCGGGAAGCCGGCCTCGGGGAGCCTTCGCGCCGTCGCCGCCGGCGCGTCCCGGGGCCTCCTTCCGCGGGTGTCTCCAGCTGCACGTAGGGCGCGGGCCACGGCAGACGCTACGCAGCTGTGGGCTGAGCGAGGGGCTGCCCAGGACCAGGCTGAAAGTTCCCGAACTCGGGCGGACTGAGGGACGAAACTCGGAAATGGGGGGCTCCGTGCCGGGCGGTGCGGGCCGAGAGGGACAGAGACCTCCGCCGCCGGCGCGGACCCTCCCGGGCGCACCTGCCCCACCTTCTCGGCTGCCGGGTAGCCTCTCCCGACTCCCCGTTTCCCGCTCGGCGACGCGGCCCTCCCCCCTCCCCCGGGCGGCCGGGCAGGTGCCCCGGCTCCGCTCTAGGATTGGCCCGCGATGATTTCATTGTTAGGGCACATCCGGGCTTTTCCCTCCCCGCAACGCCTCCCCAGAACCCCGCCTTCCGAGCGTCCTCCTCCCGCGGGCGCCCCTCCCCCCGCCTAGCTGAAGCAAAACAACCGCCACTCCCCAGACCGCTGCTCGTCCTCGCCCGCTCCATCCGCTTCCCGACTCCGCGGCCGAGAAAGGCGTTCATAACCGCCAATGAGGGGCGAGCAGCCTTGGTCAGCCAATCAGCAGCCGGCCCCCTGCAGTTCCGGGCGGGACTAGGCCTCCGCACCTATAACTGGACGTCCGTTGGCGCTTCTATGGCGCTTGTTTTACTCAAGGCTTAGAGGCCGAAAATAGAGGGCTATGGTGCTTGTAGAACTGTAAGGATCCGCACAGGCTTAATGGGATTGTCCGTTTTCGAAGACGAGCCAATCGCTTTTCTCGTACTTCCCCGCCTTTTGAGCGTTCATTTAAAAACAGCCGGTGTGACGGACTTGGAAATTGGTTCAGTGACGGACACATAGAGAAAGCCAATGACTTAGGGCTCGGGTCACCCTTTCGACCAATAAGAAGAGAGAGCCGCTCTGGGTCGGCTTTGCTAGGCGGAGCGCAGGTGGATGTTATTTGATTGACGGCGGTTTCTGCTTATGGCTGGCAGGGTGGGTTGGTCCCTGAGGTCCGGGAGGATTAGCAGAGGCGGGGCTGAATGAAGTAAATGGTAATAAAGGGTTGGGTCTCACTCAGTGGGCGGTGTTTGATGGATAGTTGACCTTGCCAATTGAAGGTGGTCGCCGATGCCCAATGGAAATATTGTAGGCGGGGAAAACTCGGTGCCGAGGTACAAGGGGCAGCCGGAGTGGGCAGTAGAGCCGTGATTGACGGCCGGCTCAGCAAACCGAGGACAGCGAGAGGACGCGCGGCGTCCCGAAGGGACGGAACTGGGGGCGGGCCCCGCCGAGGGGCGGGGAAAGACGGGGTGCGGGGAGGGGGTTGCAGTAGGAGCGGAGCGGCTGCTGCTCAATGGCGGAAAAGCCGCCGGTGCCCTGACCGCCTCGTCCCCCTAGCAGTTGCGGGGGAGTTTCCTGCCGGCGCGGTTGGAGTCTCTGTTTCTCAGGGTTTGGTGGCTGGAAGATGCTCCAGAGAGACGAGGCTGCGGCGGAGGAGGTGGCGGCGGCCGAATCGGCAGCGGCGCTAGGGTGGAGAAAAGGCGGCGGCGGCGGCGGCTCGCGGGGCCCTACCGTGTAAACAGCTCCGGAGGTGGCGGAGGCGGCGGCCGAGACCCCCAGGGGGAAGCGGCGGCTGAGGCCAGGTCGCGCCTCCGTGGGAGTCCTGGGCTGAGTACCGCAGGGGGCTTTGCGGCGGCGCGAGCGGACGCCCGGGACCTCGCCTTCCTCGCTCGCTCCAGGTAAGGCCGCTT